CCCCCTCCCCGTGTGCTCGGCAGACGACAGACCACATGTCGCTCCGCCCCTGGCGCTAGGAGCATACTTCTCTTCATTGTTTTCTAGATTTCGTTCACCACACAAACAACACCCGCTCAACCCATCCACCCGTGATCCGCTCTCATTCACAACGCCATATCTCGGTCAGGAGGGAACGCAGTAGTTATGGCACAGAGCAGCAATCAGAGAGGGTTATACCCGAGGCTCATCCTTGGCTCCCTCGTCGTTCGTTTCACGAGATCCTGAGAGACTCTCCAAGAAGAGCAGGGAGATTGGATACTTCATCGTGTTCTGCCATCCTCTCTCAGCGGAGGAGTGACAACAGCAGAGACGACGAGTGTATCACAGGTAGGTGTGCTTGGCGCGCTGATCAGCGGTGCCAACCGGTTATTGGAGTCCTCCGAAATACTCCGCGAACAACTTGAATCTGTAGAAAAACATTTTTATCGTCATCAAGCAACGTTTTGTGTCATCAGTCAGTGTCTGATTGTTGCCTTCTACATAGCGGACTGGATGCAAAAGCTCATCTCACTTCTATCACCCATTCATCTGTTTGATCCGGGCTCACTAATAGCCTCATGTCGAACACGGCGAACTCAAAACTTGCCATACGACGCTTGCTTAACTGAAGGCGTACATGTCGTGCCGACGACGTTTGAAAACAAGTCGCTGACGATAAAATCCACCCTCGAACTGCCAAACACGAGGCTCAAACACCCGAATACTTAACACGGACCCAATCATAATAAAAATATATACTGGACCACCTCGCCCGCAGAAACACGTCAAAATCAATTAAAATTGCAACAATACAAAAGTATATCAGTCCCCACGGTAGCGACACCGTCTGCAACTTTGCCGACGAGCGCAGATATCCCTTGCGCAAGGTTTGCAAATCAAGCCCCCACAACAAGTCGTGCGAATCATCACCACCTTGGGAAGGAGGCACTCGCCGCAGGGAACGCCGCCGCCGCCGCCGCCGCCGCTAGACCGGGGAGTCTTTTCGACAGCTCTCTCTAGAACAACGCCTTCGATTCCGGCCACAGAAACTACCCCAAGCTGTCCTTGCGGTGGCGTCGAGGCGAGTTCAGCGGCGGCGTCGACACCGCTTCGTTTTTTCGTGCAACTTCTCTCTAGTCCTGGCAGCGCCGTTCCCTCGGGCTCCCGCACACCCAACTCGCCTCCCGCCGTCTGGACGACGGGCTCAGCCGAAAGAACAGAAGCGCTCTCTTTCTCACGCCTACCACTCCTAGCGCCGGGATCTATGCACCCACTGCCGGCTTCGCCTTGGTGATCACCACCGCAACCGCTGCCAACGTTCCCTAACCCCTCGACCCTGGCGTGCATGCGACGACGACCCCCGTGTCGCTCCAGCGCCTCCCTCACCCCGCCCCAGTCCTTCCCTGCCCCGCTCGATAGCACCACGATGCTGCATGCTTCGCTGCCGCCGCCACCTGCAGCGCCGCTGCTGCCCTCGCTATATGGACTTGGCGCAGGCACGGCGTCCGGGAGAATCGGAGCCGACAGGCAGAGCACATCTAGCGCGGAGTTTCCGGCGGCGTCGCAGGCGTTCGGATCTGCTCCGGCTTCCATGAGCGCGACGCACACCTCGTTGTGGCCCTGGCTCGCGGCCTTGTGGAGAGGCGTTCTCATGTCGCCGAAGGAGGTGTCGGCGGCGTTTGTGCTGGCGCCGGCGGAGAGGAGGGCCCGGACGCAAGGCAGCTGCCCGGCAAAAGCGGCCCTGCGAGCCAGCCGAATACGTGACAGTCGGGCGCATCGCAAGGGTTTGGACGGTGACAAGTAGGAGGGGCGGGCGGGTAATGGAGGGGCAGGGGTGGGAGGAAGGATATTGATCAACGAGGGCGAAAAACGTTATGCGCGGCAACGCGTGCGTGCGCGTCGAGGGGTCGGGAACTTTTTCTTGAGGGTATGAGTAGCACCTTCCACGTGCGAAACAGGGGCTGACGACACGCGTTTATCGCGCACGGGGAATTTACGGAAACCACCCTGTTGTGGTACGTTTCGGGAGCACGACAGCAAGGAAAACATTCGATGGGGTGTTTTATTTCAGAGTTGGAAGATATCGAGAGCGGGTGAGTGTGCTAAGGGGCTCGCGTGTCGCCCGTGTGCGATCGCGGTTCTCAGTTATCCCGCACTATTTTTTCAGCAGACACCTACAAATACACCTTGGCGCCACCCTGGGATTGATTAATGTGCGGCACTTGGGAGGTCGTTGTTCGCGCAGAACAAAAGATCAGCATCAGGTCCTACCCTGTATACTAAAGCTGAAAGCGCGACGCTGGCGGTGCGTGCGAAAAATGGAGATTCTGAGGATACTTGTTGCGCGCCACGAGCAATTCAAGGCAGGGCGTTGTATTCCCCAACAGCATTATCAATACAAGTAGCATGTTCTGATGTTGGGAATATCGCACAGAAGCACAGCCAGCCCCGTATCCGATGGAACGGTCCAAAGCCGACCACAAACGAGGGGGGCGCTCTTGACGATGTGGCTCACCTGTGAAGTGGCGTGGCTCCGCAACCACCGGCCTCGGCAGGGACGCCGTCGGGGCTAGCGCCGGTCTCGAGGAGGTACAGCACCACCGATAACCTTCCGTCTGAAAGGTACGACAGCAACGGTGAAACAGAAAAGAGCCATGAGAACGAGCGATACATCTACTTCTTCAGAGGGGAAATAGTGGTTCCAGCGCGATGAACGCTCGTCCCGTGCACCACAAGAAGCCACACGGCGGGTCGATGACGCAACCTCCTGCGTCTGCTGCAGTACGATGCAACACGCAAGCCCGCTAGCAGTGTCGTGTGACCTATTGTGGACGAACCCCCAAACCAACGCACCTAGTCTCCTGGAGTGCAACCTCCTCCAAAGGTCTAACAGAACGGTCTCTATGATAGCGCGAAACAAGACTTGGGTTGAGTTGGTGGGGGAGGAGGGTGTCCCCTTTCATGGGGAATTTTGATCTCGCGACAAGGTTGGTATCCCTCCACTCGATACGGAGAACAACAGCCGTCACTGCGCAAATTCTTTTCTGTTGCGGCGAATCTGGTTTTGAGTTATTATTTTCGTCGCACGATCTTTCTTGTTTCTTCATGAACACATGAATTTTGTGGTAACGACGGAAGAGTACGGGCAGTGGAAAACCGGTGACCGCATCCAGTTGTGAAGGCGGTAGGACACAATGTCGTTGAGGGCTTCGTGGTGTGACAACCATCACCCCGATTAAACCCATCAAGTTGTCCTTTGGGTCTACGATTTATCGCACCTAGTCGTGTGGGCGCTGTACCTACAAGTAATGAGCTCAACACCAACTCTTTGGCGTTGGGCATTGGAACGCATGGTACGTTCAGGGCGTGAACGCCGCCCGCTGCTGCTCTTATGCGTGTTGCTCTATCTTGCTGTAACTCACTCTGGGCGGCGAGGTGAAGAGGAGAGTAGCCGTGCGGGTCGAGGGAGTCAGGCCGTCGTCCCTTCACCGCCACTGACACCCTCACACGCGCCACATCTCCCAGCTCTGCCGCTGTCCAGATGCTAGCATTGGTGGTCAACGTCCTGTCAACGTCGCAAAACATGTGCATCGGGACGTGGTGCAAGCGGACGGCCGTTACGATCACGACGTGGAGGCGTACTGGTCCTGGTTCGAGTATACACGTCAACACGGGGCGCGAAAGCTTGCCCTCTCCTCTGTCCGCCAGTAGTAGACAGACCGTTGAGGATTGGCGGCCACCCACTCAACGCCAAACGGGGTTCCTTTTATATGCCTCCTTCTTGCTGTCTTGAACCGCGCGTGGAAGAAGTGTTTCCATGGGACGAAAGAAGACAGGAACACCAGAGCAGCACCCTACGACATGTGAACAGCTCCTTATGACGATTTCCCGAGCGTCAAACTCAAAGAAGGGTACGTAGAGACAGAAAACACGAAAATGCTCAGAGTTTTTGGGGGCGCTTAGTTTAGGAAATGACACACGGCTTCATCTTCGTTGTCGAGCAACAGCAGTTGTAATGAACCTTCAAGACCAGCGGGGGGGTGGTAAACCACGTCATGTGCAGGGTGTATCTGTACAGTGGGAACCTCAGACGTGCACAGGTCCAATGTCATAGTACTACAGGTGTTCCCTTCTCACTCCTCGGCTTCTCATTACACTGCTGTCCCCGTGTCCGTCCCCGTACGGATACAACAACAGCCGCCGAAAGGCATGACGAGACTACAAGTTCAAAGTGAGAATTGCGCCGCAGTTGAAAATCTTCGATGGCAGCGGTTCGAGCAATGCTCACCTGCACGGACAACGGTCGTTTCCTTCGTGTAACGGGCAGAGGGACCCGACTACGAGGTTCATTTGTTCAGTTCGGCAGTCACTGCTTCAGCAAAGACGAGGCAGGGATTGCACCAGCACCAGGACCAGCAATGTGCAACGTGACTGTCTGCACGGCCGTTCGGGGGGCAACGCGACATAGACAGGTTCGTTGGGGTACCCACTCTGCTGCTCTCGCCCACCGCGCCTGGGCGGTGCAACCTTCCGCATCCATGATCATGTGCCTTGCACTTGCCTCTCCTTGACACCCTTTCGGTGTCCGGCACAATCCATCTGCAGCAGGATGACCCAAGCAGCTCCCGCATACGGCGGCAGGAATGGTGGCGGCGCGAACGCCGCCAGCCGTCGCGTCGCCAACTTGGCCAAGGATTGCCCCAGCGCAAGCCGGAGCAAGAACAGCAGCAGCAGCAGCAGCAGCAGCAGCAGCAGTAACAGCAATGCCGCCGCCACCCTGTTCATCATCCTCGTGCAATCGGTGTGGAGGTCACCTTCGCCAGTAACCGCCGACGCCTTCGCGGGTCCCGCAACGACGACGAGCTCCCATGCACGGCTAGTCGCAAGCCGCCGTGCGCCGGGAGATATCGGCGATGGTGTTGCAGAACACCCGTTCACCTCGCGGCACCCGTCGCGCAGGATTGGCCGCTTCGCGCGAGTAGCGGCAAGCGCCGCTCTTGCCGCCAACGCCGACCCCGCTGTTCATGGTGAGGTCTCAGCTGTAGCAACAGCAGCAGCAGCGCCCACGGAAGGGGAAGGAGAGCCGCCCAAGAAGAAGAAAAAAAAGAAGGAGCGAATCCGGGTGACGACGGCTGCCGAAATGAGGACGCTCCTCGCGGACGGTAAGAGTCTGTTCGACCTCGACGCAAGGGGAGACTCGCAGGCGATGCTCGAGGCGCGGGAGGACGAGCACCCGGTGATCGAGGTGCTCAGGAAAAGGGTCAAGGCGGGAACGAAGCCTGGGTCTCACGGGGACGGGCTAAAGGTAACGACTTCTCCCAACAGCACGGCGCTGGTGTCTACTTGCCACCCCCCCCCCCCCCCCCCCCCCCCCCCCCCCCCCCCCCCCCCC